AATCAATACATTTAAAAAAAGAAAAGAAACAGGTACAGGAGAAGAAATGACTTCACAAAGGACATGCAATGCTGACTGAGGCAGGGTCTGAACCTAGGGTGGCAACGCTCTGTGCTGCCGCTGCGAGGGAGCTCAGGCAGCTGTAGAGGGGGCTCAATCAGCCATTTCGTGCAGATTGTTTGTGATTTACTTTTGCTCTGCATTTAATGTGCACTTTTCCCTTGTGGTTAATTTTTTCAGCTTTACTGAGGTATTTTCCCTGTCATTTTAATTGACAAGTACATATAGTCTGTATACTTATGCTAATTGATTGATTCATTAATTCAACCTCCATTTACTGAAACTTTACCCTGTGTGAATCTCTGGGCTGAAGAGAGCTCTGGCCATAGAGGTGAACCAAATCATCTTGGTCCTTGTCCTTGAGGGCAGTAAAGAGACAATGAACATGACAGTGTGAGCAGGCTGTGGGAACTAAGTGGGCTCCTAGCCAAGGCAGGGGTCAGGAGAGGCTTCCTGATGACTGACGTAGGTCTTAAAGGATAGGCAGGATGCAATCACATCCCTTTAATATTGGCTATTAGAATTAAATATTAGGCTGGGCATTTGATGTCCATCTATCAAATGTTAGTTGTGTATTATTAGTTTTCTAGCACTCTGTCAAGCTAGTATAGCAGGTGTATTTAACAGCCTTTATCACAAGCAGCAGGAACATTCATTTGCCCCGTGTTGAGTCACTTACAAAATATTTTACACTCCTTGTATCATTTGCTGTTACAAAAAGCTCTTTGAGGATGCTTTGTTTATAGGCATATATTTTTCTTATTTTGTATCTCAGCTAACCTCAAAAATTGTGATTTAATTTTGCAGCAAGATTATACCAAAAGTTTAAAAATTAAATTAGATAACTTTGGAACTTAGAAACATTCAAATTGCACTAACTATGAATTAAACCAGGGTCTGGTTTCTGATCCTAATTTGGCCAACCCCTTCCTCTCTTTGGGTGTCAATTTCTTCTACTATAAAATGGTCACGTGAAAGACATTTAGGCTGAAGAATTAAATGGGATAATGGATCTGAGACACCAGCACAGCCCCTGGCTCATTAAAGATTGATTCTAGTCCTGGCTGTTGTGGCTCTGTGGTTGAGCACCAGCCTGCAGACCGAGAGGTCACTGGTTCGACTCCCAGTCAGGGCACATGCCTGGTTCACAGGCCAGGTCCCCAGTTGGGGGTGTGAGAGAGGTAGCCCGTTGCTGCCTCTCTCACACATTGTTTCTCTCCCTGTCTCCCTCCTTTCCCCTCTCTTCAAAAATAAATAAATAAAATATTTTTTTAAAAAGATCAATTCTCCTAACATGGTCTCTAATGTTCATACCCCGGTGGTAATATACCAGCCCTCACTTGTGCCAAGACTCCCAAAGAGATGCTTTGAGAGACAGAGTTCAATGCCAGTTCATTACCATAGCTGGGACAAAACCATCCCAGTTCTCATTAATCAGATAGTTACAGGGAAAGGATAGTGTTTGACACTGTCATTTTCCCCCTGAGTTTGTTTTAATTGGGTTGCAGGAAAAAAAATGGGATGTGGTTGAAATAACCAACACAAAATAAAACTGACAATGGCTAAAACTGCACATAGTAAAAATTCATTATGGATGGAAAAGCAAACTGAATGATCCTATCTTTGTTGATGACATTGAACATTGCAAAGTTGACTTCTGGGAAAATTCCACTGGGTAGAAGTAATCAACACAAAGTAACACTGACAACCGTTCAAACTGCTCCCAGGAAAAGGTGGAGTTGGTGGAAATCATGACGAGAAATTTCTAACGGCTGAAGTGATAATCAGTAAGAGTTGCAAAGGGAACTGACGAATCCAATCTTTCTTGTAAAATTGATATAGAAAAGCATATATCTGGATGAAAATTCAATATAGAAAATCTAGAAAAGTTAGAAGTTGTTTAACTGTGCTATGTAGAAAATTTATCAAGGGATTAAATTGGCTTAATGGAGTTAATTCCTTAAATACTTTAATAAATTCATTAATAGTAATTTAATTCTGAGTAAAGAGTATACATGCCAAGACTTGGCAGGGATCTGGAGAGATACTTCTCTAATTAGATGAACGGGTTTGGACTATAAATGGTACTTTACGGTGTTCAAAACACTTTCCTACACATTGTTTCATTGGATCCTCCTAATGACCGTATGTGGTGACAGAACAGGAATCATTCCTTCCATTTACAGAGGCAAACAAACACTGGGCTTCAGAAAAGGGTTTGCTGAAGGTCACCCAGCATGTGCATGGCAATGTCTAATTTAGGATCTGATTCTTAGATTCCCAGGCCAGGAAGCTTCCTCATAGGGATTCCCCTAATTCAGATAATCCTTTACTCACAGGACAGACCAGGCCCCTTCTAATTTTGATTACCCAGCCCCCACTTTCTGCCATTAGGGGAAGTAGAGAAAAGGAGGAGGAGGAGTGGAAAGGGTTTAGGAGAGGGGATGGCCAGTACGACTCAGAGAGGCAAAGGGACATAGCTAACTCGTCTTAGGTACCTGTCTTACTATTCTAAGAAAAGAGAACAGAGGAATCAGATGATGTTGGGGGGGGGGGGCAAGAGTGGGATTTTAAAGCGGGGAGAACAGGATGAACATGAGATATGCAGTGTGAAGAGACAGTGCCTGATGTATTTTGAGAAAGTGATCCCTAAGGGGTGGGAATGGAACTACAGGCAGGTTGGGCGGAGCTGATGGACTGGCTGCCCCAGGGCTGTGACGCTCTGATCTAGGCAACCTGGGTTTTCTCGGGCGGGCCGCACTTCTCCTGTGGGCTGCCCAGTAGAGCTCATACGTTCTGGTGTTTTTTGCACAACACCACGGAGCAATGACACATGAAGTCTAAAATACTGTAATTGAATACAAGATGTATGCTAAATTAGAGATTATCTGATACCATATTACATGTTCTAGGAGAACTGCACACAGAAGGAAAATTTCTAAGTGTACGCGACATTTATTGTACATAGACGATGCTTTGTTTAAATAGATCTCTGTGGACCCCTAACTGTTCCTCCTGCCTCACTCCCCCTTTCCCACCGTGATCTCTGGCCCACAGATTAGAAGCCACTGCTATAAGAATTCAGATATAAGGAAAATCAGTGTCTAAAATATGTTCTACGGAAGGCAGGACTTTGTCTTGAGCTTCAAAATTAAGTAGGTGATAAGGAGCAATGGGTGTGGAAAGACCAGAAGAAGGAAAAATTTGAGGAGAGACAATAAAACTTGAGAAAATTCTGCCCTGACTGATGTAGTTCAGTGGGTTGGGCATTGTCCTGCAAAGTGAAAGGTTGTAGGTTTGATTCCCTGTTCAGGCACATGCCTGGGTTGTGGTCCAGGTCCCTGGTTGGGGACATGTGAGAGGCAACCAGTTAATGTTTCTCTCCCTCTCTTTCCCCCTCCCTTTCCCTCTCCCTAAAAATAAATAAAATCTTCTAAAAAATCATCTATTAAAAAATAAGAATATTGAGAAAATTCTCCTACCAATTTAATGTTCTTACAGGAATTTTAAGTGAACACCATTATTATTTTTAATCCTCATCCGAGGATATGTTGTTATTGATTTTATAGAGAGAGGAAGGGAAGAGGGGAATATGGATTGGTTGCTTCCCATAGGCACCCTGACAGGAGATCTAACCTGCAGCCTGGAGACAACGCTCCAATTAACTGAGCCACCAGGCCAGGGCCCTTCTTTGTTTTAATAGTGGAACTGTTGAGCTCCCAGAAAAACAGGACAGGCCTAGTCCCGGAGCACCGCTGAGGGCAATAGGAAGCCATGGAAAGCTTTGAGGCATCAAAGATTTGTTGGGTATAGAAATTGTGTTTTAGAAAATAATTTTATAGCTTAAGAAATTAAGTGATCCTTTTAAACAATTCAGGCAACACGAAAATTAAAATTACTTGAAATCTGATACTCTTTCCTCCAAGATAAATCACTCAATATTTTGAGGAACCTCTTTTTAGAAATCTATGATCATACAGTATTATCTCAAATTTCCCATAAGTCGGACCTCTCTAAACATGCTGGTCTGTAATCGAATTTTTTCTCCTCGAGAATAAATATGAATAGCTTTTCACGTCAATAAATAGATCTGTACCATTATTTTAAATGGCTGCTTAACACTGCATTGTTTGCGTATATAAATCAGTCATCTCCTGTTGGTGAACATTTCCGTTCCCCCCCCCCCCCCGTATACAGCAACCTCATATAACAATCTTGTGCATTCATCTTTTCCAAATTTTCCTATTACCTTTTTAGGTGAATTTTAAAAAGTAAAGGAGCTAGGTCAAGAATTATGCCCTTTTTTACATTTGGATTCAAGTTGCCAAATTGTCTTCGGATTTTCAGGGAGACCAGGAGGAAGCTGCTGCCTTAGTTTTGTGAGATAGTGGCAACGGGGATGGCGAAGAGAGCAGGGTGTCTTGGGCGAGCTAATCCACTTAGGCTCGTCCTCAGTGGGTTGGCACATTCCTTTCCTTGTTCCTCTCCTCCACTTCTTTTTCTTAACATGGAGGCGGACTGTGAACTGATCCTCCAAGCATTTCTCAGGGACCGGAAGGAAGGCGGGAGACTGTGGCGCATGCTGGAAAATGTAGTCCAGCGAGCCAGAAGACGGTGTGGGTGGGTGGGTGGTGGCGGCAGCGGGGGTGCGCGCGCGCGCGTGTGTGTAATGTGTGGCGGGGGTGGCATGTATAATCACGCGCGCGCCCGCAGAGGTTGAAGATAGAGAACATCGCCGCGCGGGGATGGGGCCGTGGGGCGACCCAACTATTCTCACATGTGGCTCTGAGTCTGCAAAAGCCCCCAGTGTGAGGTTGGCTTTCTTCCATTGTCCGTGACCGTGGAGGGCGCGGCCCCTCAGCTTTGGGCGGGCGGAGGCGAGCGCGGCCGCGCGAGGGCCGGAGAAAGGCATGCCGGGAGTTGTGGTCCGGGCACGCTGAAGCTGTGGGACGTGTCGCGGCGCTGCGCCGGCTCCTCCTTCCCCGCCCTTCTTAGAGGTGCCCCTCTCCCTCCCTTCGCCTCCTCCTCCCTAGCCCGCAGCGGAGCGTCCCCTCCCCCACCCGTGGGGCTTCTCGGCAGCTACTGCAGAGGATTCAGAGCGGAGTCGCTGAGGAGGAGGAGGCTCCCGGTCCCTGCGCGCCATCCGCCACCTTACTGGACACGGGCAAGGGAGCGAGAGCGTCGCCTCTGTAGCCCCCAGAGAAGACAAGGGCATCACCATCTCAGCCACCGCCGCCGTTTTCTCCTGCAGCGGCTCGCCGGTGAGGAGAGCCCCCACCCCCCTGGTCCGTTTGTCCTGAGCCTGGGCCGGTGGTACTGGGGAGAATGAGTGGAGACTGCGGAGCGCGGGTTGGGGGAAGGGGGGTGAGGTCGCGATGGAACGGCGGGCTGGCAGGGGAGACTTGTGCAGGCGCGGGCTGGGGGTGGGGTGAGGGTGGGACCCAGGCAGGTTGGGGGTAGGGGGGCGACAGGGGAAGGGGACTTTTAGTAGGGAATAACCGGACTTGGGACAGGAGCGTTGGGCTGGGGGTTGGGGTGGAATTTGGGATGGTTTTGGGGAGAGCTGGATGATTCGACTGGAGTGGGATGGCTTTTAATGGGGGAGGGGACTGAATGAGGGTGGTGGATTTGGGGTTGGCTTGGACCAGTTGACACTTTGGGATCCGAGCTGGGGTGCAGGGTAGGGGATAATTTCAATGGACAGTGGGATTGCAGGGTTGGATAGGACCCTTAGGGGGGTGTTAATTCAGGAGCGTGGAATTTGGCGTGGACCTAGGGCAGGCTCATAGAGGTGGTAGGAGCTGCGGGTGAGGGGCTTGGCATGGGTTGAGACCTGAGCTTGAAGTGGGCGTTTGTTATCTAGGGGTGGTGGCATTTGTGGAGTCTTACGGAATAGTGTGGGTTAGGAGAGCAGAGGGGGTAGAATTTAGGGTTTTCCTGGGGAGTGTTTATGGAGGTTGGAATAGGAGCTGGTGGGGATGGGACTTTCAGTGAGGGGAGTGTGATGGTGAGCCGGCAGGACGGGTTAAATTAGGCATTAGTTCCCAAATGGGCAGACAAGTATTGGAATGGGGAGGGCACAGTGGGATGGTATTTAGGGCGATTTTGGAACTATTGGAAGGGGCATTGGTGGCTCCCTGGGTGCAGGGTCAAGGCAGAGGGCACAGAAGACGTTGCTGAGCTGGACTCACTCTGAAAGAATAGTGGCAGGTGGTGAGCAAGGTTGGGGGATGGTGTCTTGAAGAAAATGTCACTTGGTCAAGGTGGCAGAGGGAATGTTGGAGAAAGAATGTCTGAGATGAACTGATAGGACAGGAGAGGTGATTGCTGATGGTGAGGTGACAGAGGGGTTATTAAAGGTGGGGGAGACATGGAGTTGGTGTGGATGAGGCAGAGGATGGAGAGTATGAGCAGTGCTGGGAGGAGCTGAATTGGATGAAAAGGAAGGATTCAGATGGCCTCCAAGAGACAGAAGAGGGTAAAGGGTTGGACTTAAATGGACAGCTTTGGAGGCTGTGGTTTGGGGAGAGACAATAATCAGAGGGACTTTGTAGAGGAGAGAGAAGGCACATTAAAGATTCTCTTTCCTAGAGGATGTCTTAAGCTGTTAGTTTAATCTTTTTTTTTCCATTTATGTTAGTATCATATTTAGAAGTAAATCAGTCCAAAGGGTAAAGTTGGAGAGGTATAGAATTAAGGAGGGGATAATGTCTTCTATTATAGACACACCTTGGAGATAGTGCGGGTTTGGGTCTAGACCACTGTAATAAAGCGAGTATTAGAATCAAGTGAGTTGTGATCTCATTGCTGCTTGAAGGTTTTGCCTTAAATTTGTAAAACCTGCAACATTTGTGAAGCGTAATTAAGCAAAGTGCAATAAAGTGAGGTATGTCTGTGTTCATATGACAAGAAAGTTGGGAGAAAAAAAACCCAGCCCCAAACTAAAGGTGAAGAAAATAAAACTGGAATGTGACAGATATCTCTCTATATAATGTCTCTGCCTTCTTCTTTCTGTCCTCCCCCTGGTGCATTTAAAAATTAGTCCTGGAATTTGAATTAAATAGATTTGATAGGCTTGAGTTAGCATTCCTTGCTTGAGAACTGATGAATGAAACTGAAAAATATGAGGCTGAATTTATTTCCTATTCAGGGAGCATGCATGCATGCAGAAAGAGCTTAGGCCTTTTTTTTTTTTGCCTTAAAATTGATAGCTTGAAGACTCCGTTTATTGGTGTCCTGGTTTGCAAGGCAATTAGGCCCATCATTGTATTGCAGGCTAATAATCCTGCGATGAGTCTTGGCACCACTGCTTTGTGTAAACAGAGAGGACAGGAAATATGGAAATGTCATAAATATTAATTGGTGAGATAGTTTGGTATTGATGGAGTTTTTCATTTGATTCTCTTCTGACATTACTTGGTAAGATTTATAATAATTATACTCTATTTCTATAGATTGAATTTTCTTCTGCTAGAAAGAATTCCACCTGAATTCCTTCAGATGTGGATAAATAAGGCACATAGGATCATTTTGTTTGATTTTTTAGGGGATGGCATTATGTACACACATGAACTACAGACACAATATCTCCAATTTTATTTAAAACTTAATAATATGCTTATTCTCATGGCAGAATGGCGATGCTAGGAGGTAGAGAGGGGTGTGCATGGGAGAAACATGTTTGGGAAACAGTTTTCTGGACTGAATTGCATTAGCTATGATATATTTAAAAAGTGGCTGTTGATTTTAGAGTTCAAACTGAAAAAAAATGGGGAGGGATGTAAAGAGCATACAATCGCCACCAATGGGATCAAAATCTTTTTTTTTGTGGTTTTCTTTAAGCTTCAGCGTTCAGCTTGCAAACAAATCATTTTCCTTGGTTTTCACAATTGAGCACATAAAAATACCCAATATTTAGAGAGCTTTTTTTTTTGGTAGTTCCAAAATGGGCAGAATGGTGGACAACTGGACTTGTTCTTAGAATGAAAGTGCTTTTTTAAAAAATTAATGGAGGTTTATTACAATAAAAATTAGGTTTGAATAAGTTACCTGTCATTAGATGAGAGTGTAATCTACTTAATGCAAGCATTTCTCCTTATAACTTTACTTTGGGGTCCAGACATTGCTTTTGTAGATCTGTAGACTTGATCTATAGGTGGTTGGATATTTTATATTTTTCTAACTTTTGAAAGCTCAAAATGAAAAGTAATAGCCTTGGTGGATGCTTTTACCCCCCTCACAACTGTGGTCATTTGTGCTGTAGGAATGTATGTAAAGTGCTTTGATATCTTTATCTAATTTGAATCTTCCTATATTCTGGTGAGAGTGGTGAGCAGATGGAGATATTAGTAGATAGGCACCTTGGTAGAATGAATAGCCTATGAATTGAGGGGTTGAGAGTCCTAGGTTCAAATCCCCATTCCAGAATTTGATAGTTGAATGATATTAGTAGAGACATTATAAACCTTTCATAACTAAGTGTTAACAATTATATAACATTGTGAATATACTTACTTCTACTGAATTGTACACTTAAATATGGTTAAAATGGTTAAAAGAAAAACACTTTCATACTTCACAAAGCTGTCAAGGGGAACAAATCAGTTCATGTCCTGAAATAACTTTGTCCTGAAAACACTGTGTGTATATGAAATATTTGCTCAATATTTATTTATTTACTTATTGCCTGCTAAGTGCCAAGAGAAATGAAAATGAACAGCTTTCATGTAGTGGGAGAGACAGACGATTTAAATATAGTGAGAAGTGAAGCAGAACTAATGTGAGGAGTGTGGGTTCTGAGGTCCGTCTGCCATTTACTACCCGTTGTGTGATCTTGGGCACAATGGTCTTATCTGTAAAGTGGGCATAAGAGACCTAATCTCATAGAGTTGCTTTGAATATTAAACAGAATAATCTATGGAAAACACTTAATACAGTGTGCTACATAGTACCCGTTAAAAATAATAATTGTTGCCATTATTAGATAGGAGGGGACTGGAATATGAATAGCCTTTCTTGTCTTATCATTGAGTTCTTAGTACAATATTATGATGTTCTACTATTTATTAAGGAGGTGTTAACTTCACATCATCATTTTATTTGCACGTCTTTTTTAAAAAAAGATTTTATTTACTTAGAGAGAGGAGAAAGAAGGGAGAAAGAGAGGGAGAGAAACATTGATCAGTTGCCTCCCACACACCCCCAACTGGGAATCTGGCCTGCAACCCAGGCATGTGCCCTGACCAGGAGTTAACCCTTTGGTCAGCAGACTGGCACCCAGTCCACTGAGCCACACCAGCCAGGGCTTTATTTGCATGTCCTACTGTGGTCTAGGAACTTTAAACAGAAAAGTATTAAACTTATGTTACTTGTTAGCTTCCTCATCTATAAAATAAGTTCAATTCCCAGCCAGGGTACATTCCTGGGTTGCAGGCCATAACCCCCAGCAACTGCACATTGATGTTTCTCTCTCTCTCTCTCTCCCCCCGCCCTTCCCTCTCTAAAAATAAATAAATAAAATCTTTTAAAAAAATAAAATAAAATAAGAAGAAAAAACTCCTCTGAGAGGTTAAATGACTTGTTTAAGTGACTTGCTTGCTATAGTCAGTAAGTGGAAGAAGTCTGGGTTACAGTCCACAAATTCTGATTCCTCACCTCTGTTTCTATCTTCTTTTTAAATTGTGAAACAAGCCATATGTATAAAAGTTCATATAACATACATCTTCAACTTAAAGAAGGATGAATTGAAGGTCTGTTTTTACTACCAGCTTAACAAAAGGGAAATTCTAGTACCTTTGAAGCCTCTTGCCATTCCCTGCCTGATTGAATCCCCCTCCTTCTCCTCCCTCCTTCAGAAGTAACCAGTTCCCTGAGTGTTGTGTAAAGCATTCCCTTGCTTTTCTTTATAGTTTTACCAAATGAGTACATATCCTAACCAATATTTCTTTACCTTTGCAACTTTAACATAAGTAGAATTATAGTGTAGGTATTCTTATGTGACTTGCTTTTTTCTTCTTATTTTTTATTTTAACTTTAAAAGAATTTTATTTCTTCCACTGTTAAAACAACACGCTCATGGTAGAAACTGGAAATTATAGAAAAGTAAAAGGGAGCAAAGTTATTGTCTGTAGCCCAATTAGCCAGTAACACTTCTTAATGTAGGTAGCAAGAGGACGCCAGTTTGCATTTATGGATGATCAGATTATCCAGGTGTGGATCATACTTGGAAATAGGAGTTAGAGGGAGCAGCAGCCTTGGTGAG